GCCATTTTGAATCGAATCGCTAAACCACTGCATGTGCATATGTCCTACATAAAGTACTAGGCACATGCAAAGAATGAACGGAATGACTCTGGACGGACGCACGGACGCACAGACGGAGACCGAATTATAAGTCCCCGTTTTCGAACTTCGTCCGAACGGGGACTAAAAAGGGTGCATGTGCTTCGAACATTGACACCAATAAGATTTAAATTTCTCATTCATAGCAAACGTAGTGAACATTTTCAACTTGGTGGAATTCTCACCTTGACTTCGGTGTCATTTGTAAACCTCCCAAGGACTGGCAGAATCTTCGACATAAACGTACCAAGCGATACCTAAATATAATCGTTGAATACAAATATTACTAAAAACATTGAGGAATTGCTGTTCATCCTAAAAAAAATACATTTATAACATCTGTTTTATGCTAAAATACAGTGTTATTTTACCTGTATCGGTTCTTCCTGTCTTCTCGCTATTCTTTGTATGCACGGCACTAAATTGACAACATACGGTCGGCATTTCTGCGGTCTTATCAAATGTGCCAAGTCAGCAAATCTCCACAAAGCAGCACGCAGACTCCTAGATGCATTATTCTGTAGTCAACCAAAACAAAACAAATTTCACCCAAATTATCTTCAGAAATTCTAGGATAGGGAGTTCAGTGCCTAATAATGCACAACAATCATTCATAGCGCCATTATGGCAGCTTTCCCTTAAAAAATAAATAAAATACATACCTTTTTTATTTCTTTATAAAGTTCAACTTGCAGTCTTCCAAGATTTGTTTCCAAAAGAGTCTTTTGAGAAAAAAAAAATGTTAATTTATCACTATAATTTGCATATAATTTAATCAACATCAAAATGAGCAGTGAGTAAAATGTTTTTGGTCATATTTTTTGGTCACATGCACTTACATAATTTACAGAGATGTTTCTATGTTAAAAATACAGTACTCATTCCGCCCAACCTCTCGCTTATCGCTTAATTTCCGACCGCTCGCTGCTTTCCGACCAGAAACCGACCGCTTTTTTTGGCTCGCTCGCTTTTGTACGCTTGCTAGCATTTGTTCGCTCGCTCTTGCTATGGCTGGCTTCAGAAACATTGTCCGCTTGCCAACTGACCGCTGGAGTAACGATGATCGTACATTGTATCTATAAACTTACAGCCAAAACAAGGTAAGCTTGGACGTTCAGTTGCGAGACATAACAAAAAAAACGCAGCCAGTGATACATTTCGAAAATAAAAATACAAAATAAACGCAATCAGAGGAGCCGACCACGCGCGTTGGAAATAAATAGAACGCATCGTGACACAGCCTCATCAGACGCTTTCACTTACGCAATATAATTATGCACTTATATTTAATACGTTGACGAAAAACACCGCAAGAAAAATGTAAATCAGGCTTGTAATTTACTAGCAACTCGAACTGGAACGCAATATTGATTACTGTAAAAGTGGATAAATTCAAATCGTCACCAAATTTAAAATTCAAACGATCTCGTTGAATTTTAATCAAAAATAAACTTGATGTTTAGAAAGACAAAAACAACAACATATTAGAGTGCAAAAAATGAGAAATGCATGTAGAAAAATTATGCTAATGTGAGAACAAGCCATATACCCGCGAAGTACTCGCTAAAACATGGAAAAAATGTGCCATTTCAAAGGGCACCCTTACAAATAATGTCTGCGATTGTGTGAACATGAAAACGTGCAAACAAGGAACAGAGCTCGTGGTCCACCAAGGAAACTTAGCGATGACGCAGTTAGATGTACATGTATACGGCTGTTGAAAACAGAGACTCCTTCGACCTCATATGAGCAGGTTCACGTGGATGTTTCATTTTCAACTATTACCAACAACACTATGGTAATAAAGACTTTTGTTTTTATGTAGAAAAATACAATATTTTTACCAAATAAAATCATATTTATTAAAGTTATTTGTACATGAGTTGTCAAACACACTACATAGTTTGTAATTTCATCCAGCTCCTTTCAGTCACAATTCAAGACAAATAAAAGGCACAAATATAGATAATATAGCAAATTATTTTTTTCTGTAATATTCGTGTGTAATCAGTAATTATGAAAATAATTTATGGGTACATATGGAATACAATTCGTTATGAATTATTCTTAATTTCTAATCATTTTTTTATCAGGGTTTTCCCCCCAGAAAAGACGAAAGAATTTCATAATGTCGGGAACGGGAAGTCTTTTTTTTATTATTATTTATTGGGAACGAAAACTCTTTATCGTAGTGCTTCGTCTCGGTTGACAATGAGCTCTTCGGGCCGCTAAAACTGTATGTCCACCTCTGTTGGGGTGAACATTTGTATTATTATACCGAATAAATCTTAAAACAGAAATTGTGGCACTCAATCATGGCAATCTTCCAGGTCATCGTTAGAAAGATTTTCGAAGGTAAATTCAATCTCCACTCAAGGCTATCTTGAAGGATTGCAGGAAGTTGACCCTTACCGATTCATATTTATGAATTAATCGGAATTCAGGTACCATAGTGTTTGTAACTGAGTATTCCTAAAGATACGCAAAAAAAACACGAACGTTCACGTGGGATTTTTCATGCAAACATTGTCAATGGTTCCGACACTGATTCTTTTTTATCTTTCAATTTTTCCAAGACGTCTTCGAGATGCAGGTGCGATTCCTCTAGGCAACCCGTTCTATTTATTTGCAACGCATGTGGTCGGCGCCTTTGATTGCATTTATTTTGTTCTTTTATTCACAAAATCTATCACTGGCAGCGTTTGTTTTGTCGCGTCTCACAACTTAATGTACAAGCTGACTTTGTTTTGGCTGTAAGTGAACTATGTACAGCTCATGGAAGTATTTCGCCCAGAGTTTGCAAAACGGAATACCCTGCAAAATTTGAATCCTTTATTTTATAACGAGACATTGGGCGCAAAAATAAAAACCATAATTGTAATTCAACAAGTTTATGTAGCGTGTTAGTCCGCTTGCCAGCCGCCTATTTAAAAAACGCGATCTCCATTGATAACTTCGGACAAGTAAGATGGGCGCCAGCCGACATTACATTTGCAATTATTGTATTTGTTTGGCAAATTGTACAGTACGGTCATTCTATAACAATCGATTGGTCGTTTTTTTCACAGTCTTACTATTCCTGCAGATATTCTTCAATATTGTTATAGGTGCCATGGATTTACATAACAACAACTTGACCCGCGTTAAACCCAAACCATGCGTGCAAGGCAACCGTCATTCTACACACGGTTACTCGACGAATACCATACTCTACAGTAGACGTTTTTCGTTCTCCACCAAAAATAGATAGTTTTATTTCATATTAGTTGTGTCTGTGTCAGTGTCGTATTTGATTTCACGCGTTTGGTTCGATCTTGTTTACGGTGGACATTATTACTACGCGTATGTATTATTACCAATTTTATATGGCAGTGTGATCCACCGTATTTTTTCAACGGTCGTTCTATAAATTTCTGATTGTATTTATTCTTCTTTTAACATCATAAAAACAAAAATGATACACTTGTACATGAAACAATAGGTAATGAACTGTAAATGCGGGCAGTTGCGCTGTCAGGCAAGCAAGCGAGTGAGCGAGCGGATACTTCCGGATTTGCACGGTCGGAAAAAAAGAGGAAATTGTCTGGTCGAATTGAACAAAGCGAGCGAAAAAAAAGCGATCGAAATCCGGAAGCGGGGGGGAGGTTGGGGGAAATGAGTACTGTAAGTAATATTTTAATGATTCATTAACAAATGTAATTTTAGGCTATATGAACTTCTATTGGAGATGTGCTTCTAATAGAACAAATACAGTAGTCAATTTTTGCTGGTATTAAACATGACAACAATAGCTCCGATCGAATTTGACATGGTACACTGATTCAATAGCAGTACAACCATGATGACCTCAGAATGACCTTTGGGTCATAGCTACTAATTTGTTGTCATGGAGGGTATACTTCAATATGAAGTAAATATAGAAGGGGTTAATATTGTATGATTTTTCTGATGTGATTAAATTACCAGAAACACAAAATGTGAGTACCTTGATTGTTCGGTTCAAACATTCATCTGCATTCATTCTAACGTCTGGTTCCGGGTCATCACAGGCTATCAGAAAGGTTTCCATGGAGATACCAAGAAACTTTGGAAAATCAGCTGTAGATCTACAAAATGAAAATTAGAACATGAATTACTGCAAATATTTGAAATATTTCCCTTAGTTTATAGTGAAACTTTATTTATCAGAGAAAATCGAAAGAAAATACAATTTTTTCCCCCATGGTTTTTCATGTATATCTCCCCAATAGCGCAGTTTGGGGAAAATCAACAACTCTGGCCAAACTAAAATAACTCACAGTATCTTAAAATTTTGAGTTTGTTTAGATTTAATGATATAAAATTAGTCATTTAACATGGATCACACAGGTATTTGCACACTCATTTTGGTTACCTTTATAACCAGATTTTGACACATTAGAAAAGATGTATAGTCATAATGTGATGATGACAACACTACAACAAAGAATACTGTACTGTGGTCCTACTGACCATTACTATATACTGATCATCATTCCCCTGATTGTGATTTTGAATAATTTATAATATTCTTGTAAGGCCAGACTTTTATTATCCCTTGTTTCGCGAACCCGGCGAATGAACAGGAGCCGAAAATGAAATAAAAATAAACATTTTTTTCAGCATAATTTCTCGCACCCACCAACTTGTAAGTGCAAAAAATTTCTTAAAAAAATTATTTTTATCTTCATTTTTTTTTCGCCTGTCGCGTAACAAACCCAAGTTGCATTTTCGTGGGAGTACCATGATCAAAGTACCAAAGTCTCGCGCGGATGAGAAACAAGGTTACACATCATCATGGAATAAAATTTTATTTTATTTTTTCTCTCCGATCAATGATCTCGCTTACAATTCTTTGAGAATCACACAAATCTAATGGAAAAAAAGAATTTATTTTTTCCCGCCCTAATCAAAAAAATTTCCTTATAAAAACTCGAGAAACAAGGAATAAAAAAAAGTCTGGCCTAACTATCTAATGGTTATATTATCACTCAAAATTAGTGACATTCAACTCTTTTGAATATGAATAGTTTATTACTTACTTAAAGTTGGGGGTACACATGGCATCGGCAATAATCGTGAGATATGTAACTCGGTCTTTTTTAGTTATAACTATTTCCTTTTTTCTGTGAAGAAAATGAACAAAATATTAAAAATATACCAGTGTTTTCTGAGACACAATAGTTCAACAAAGTCATAAATCAACTGATATGCAGCTCAACCAATAATATAATGATGAACACATGTGCCAAGAAAAGAGGGTGTGGCACTACCAAATACCACTGGAGACATGAATTGGCATGTACATTCCAAACACTTGTCTTGAATATTGAATTGTGAGAGCAGATATAAGCAAGAACAAAATTGTTGTAGCAGGGAAAAAATCAATCTGATTAAAATCTGATGTAGTGTACAGGCTTTAATTATTGTGGCTATAAACTTATTTTAATTTTATTTTTTATTACTTTTGTTATTAATGCCCTTTTATTTTATTATTTTACTTTGATTTTGATTTTGTGATTTTTTTTAAATTCTGCCCAACCTACATCTGAGCCGATGCCTATGTAACGAGATTTCAACGAGACCCACTATCGACGATTTTAGTCAACGAATCACATACCTCCTTCTATAGCGCACATGATGACGTCACCGGGCAGAGTCGGGTGGCAAACACACTCAAATAAAATGGCGGATTATACCGACGTTAGCGACCGAGAATAACACGGCTTTTCGGTAAGTTTATCATTGTCAAATGCAACGAAAGTCATTTTTATGTTAATATTGTGGCTCGAATGGTTCGACTTTAGATCGTTATTTTGCAGTTATTCTGGGAGTGACGATTTTGTTTCCGCCGTTTCGACCGAACACCAGTGTCTTTTTCCAGTCGCCTGCCCTGTAGACGGGTGATGTTTTGTTGAAGATCGGGCCAACATCGTCTACGGTATTGAAACCGTAGCTGTAAATATTCATCAAATTGTATCATCATTTTGTACATTATACAATAACTCTTTATTAAAGTTATTGAGCTGATTTGGACTGGAATAAAATAATTTTTATTGGAACACATCGCAATTGATCAGGAAATATTTCTTTGCTCCAATTTTCTGCGTCGATGCCGTGGGCCGGTGACTATTATACAATTTAAAATCAGTTTCCATTGTTTACTATAGCTGTTTACAGTGTTCTAATCATTACGATTTACTTATTTTTTGCTTCCATTCTAGATAATTATGCTCAGTGATGTAAAATTGAAGCGATGACTGAATGAACCAACCTTGGTTGGCAAAGATGTATCTGGAAGTGTACACATTTGTTGGAAGTGAAAAAAATATTCAATGTAATGACAAAAATTGTAAAATGCTGTGGAATTTTTTTTGCAAATAAAAATATACTAGCAATTTTCTATTAATGGTTTATTCAAGTGGGCAAAATATAATGTACAGAAAGATTGCCCGTAGAGTATCGCTACACTGAAAAGTAAGCAACCGACAGCCTGTATAAAAGGGGGGCTGTGATTGGCTGTTACTTATGCGAGATTTGAACGGGACTTACATAGGCGTCGGATCAGATGTAGGTAGGGCGGAATTAAAAAAATCACAAAATCAAAATCAAAGTAAAATAATAAAATAAAATAAAATTAAAGGACATTAATAACAAAAGTAATAAAAAATAAAATTAAAATAAGTTTATAGCCAAAATAATTAAAGCCTGTACACTACATCAGATTTTAATCAGATTGGGAAAAAATGAAAATAAAATGTGGTGTATTTATTTTCCCTTGGAAATAACTTTGCTGAAGCACAGTTACTAGTACTGTGAACAGGGTGTTAGCCAGCCACAAGTCCACCCACCAAACAGACTGGCAACTTGGATTTTGGACTGGCAACTTTTTCCCATTTTTTTTGTTTTTTTCTATTGTTCTTTGATAATTTTACCAAAATATATTGAAAACAATCTACATTTTCATGAAGTTGAATTGTTTTGGACTGGCAGTTGCAAATTCCTGGCTAATAGCCTGACTGTGAAAGGGATGAGTCTGTGAAAATACCTTTTTTCTATATTTTACATTCAAGAGAACAAATATCAGTGAAAATAAACAAAAGATCCAAAACGTTGTTTCAGGAAAAAATAATTCTAGCTTAAATAAAAGAATATGCACACTTGGATACTGTGAATGTGTATAATACTGTGCATTTGTTACTGTTAGTTTAGCCTTTTCACCACCAGAATTTCTCGCCCAAATATGTCTGCACTTTTTTCTTATATTCTTATAAAGAGGAAACTGGTGGTGAAAAGGTTAACTGAGAATCAGTAATAAAACATACATGCAGAGATGTAAGTAACCTGTAAGAGTTTTAATTGTAAAGTAAATATGAATTCTAAAATCTATTTGATATTTGACATATAGTAGGCTTTCAATCACTCACTTGGCAGGTGAACAATTCTGATATATTTTACTTGTGATACAGTGAGCATCTAAAAAGGGTATTGCAAACAAAATACACATTTGCAAGAACGGGAAAAGCAGTCTACCACTTTATCAACTGATTGCATGATCATGATGACTTTGTTACAATATTTAAATATTAAAATGAATGTTTGTGTTTTAAATTAAAAATGATGGTTGTGCAAAGAATTATATTCAGCACCTATCCACCATGAAACTAATAATTTATCTTCATATTAATAATTACATGTACTATGATTATTAATTATAAACTGTAAATATTTATAAACTTTTATATATATTAAGCATTTGGTTTGAGTGTGTACTGTCACATTGTCTAGTTTGTATTAGTCTATGCGAGGTTTAATTACAGCGCATCACCTGCGCATGCGTCAGATGGTCATAGAGTGTCATTGTTTACAAACAAGTGTCTACCTTTGTGTTTTTAGCGTACGTTGTTATCGTCGCTTTGGACTCAATTCCTGTGCGTACACAGGTAACGACTAATGTGAATATATATTTTTTTTTTTTTGAAAACTAGACATTACCTCTAAACTGGTTGCTATAAACAGAAATAAATTGTCTCACTTGTCGGATGAAATCTGCAGGCAGTGGTCATCATGTTCAAGTTTCATGTAAACAAATGTGATTTTACACATGTTGTATGAAATTCAATTGTTTTGTTTTGAAATCAGGTCATTTGAATCCAAACAAAACAATTTGATTAACTGGGCAGGCACCCTCTCATTTCAATGAAATGCTCTTGCATAAATTAGGATGCATTAGAACAGTGTACGTCACAGGACTGCGCTGCACTGTCATTTACTTCAAAATATTTTCATTTATAAAATAGTTTATAACATTACTCGCCTTGCTTGACAGCAGTCATCGTTGGTGTAATAGATGGATCTCCAAACATTGACTACCGGTAATTTTAATCTTGAATTTCTTATTTCAATATTTATATAAATATCAGTTGGAGTGTGACTATTGTCCAATTTACATATTATTTATTTTTCCATTTTTTTCAGAATTAGGTTTGGATTAATTTTATTTATATTTTTTACCCCCAAAAAATATTAGTAGATATTCTTAGTTAGAGCCGAAATAAATCCCGGAAGTGAGATGCGACAATCAGTGCGATAATAAAATAGATCGCATGTCTGGTTGCTAAGAAATCCAAATATTTAACCAAAGTTCAGTTAGCCTAAAGTCAAACGAATTTACTTGCAATGGCGCATCAACATAAGAATCACTTTTTCCGATGGTAGCCTCCATTTTATAAGTAGCTGCCGATGCTTACCTAACGGGTATCGGGAGGCTGCCAGCGACAAATCCAGGCGAGACACCTGTCCCCGTCGTTGATTGCCCACTCTCATCGGGGCTTCCGCTGCCTTGCTGAAAAGCCTTCAGAGCCTCGAAGGCCTTGACCAGCTTTTCCATATTTGCCATGATTGTGCAGCGCTACGACGTTTCTGTCAGCGTGGTTGCTTTAAAGAAAACATGATCGCGAATTTCGTGTTATTTTCTTAAATGTTCATTCACAAGATCCGCCATGTTGAATTTCATTTACCCAGCAATAAGTTTCACTTCCGGTTGAGTAGTGACTTGAGGGCGCACTTGTGTTTATAGCAACACATTTCATCTCCAAGTTTTCCGTCCAAATTTGAATGATTCCGTCCAATATTACACATAGCAGAAGATTTTATTGACGGGGGAAGAATAGAAGAAACCTGGTATCATGTCTTCTTTAGATCCGAAGAGCGCAAAGGATGTCGTGGACACCACTCGCACACTCCAATCCCCAGGTAAATACAGTAATATAGTGGACAATGTTGTGTGTGTGTGTGTGCATTCAGCAAACTGTGGTACTCCCCTCCGCCCCTTCCCGACCGTATTGACGGACTGTGATCAGGAATACGTGTGTTAATATATTCATCAACATAGCACTAGAATTTAGGTGATATTGCTGTAATTGCACCGTTTATATAATTGAAAAAAAAAGATTGTACAAAAAAAAATGTATACGAGAAATTTGTGATATCATGTAATGTACCTCTGGTGTTATGATTTAGTTCATCACATTTGATATGAACACATATGAAAGGTGTTGCTTTAATCACACGGGCCTGATGTCTAAGTATAGCTGATAGGATGTAGCAGTAAAACAAAATCAAAATAATTGCTACGTCTTACCATAGATACTGTATCCATTTTGTGTTGAAGTATTCTTTATGATTTATGACACAATATATGGATAATGGATATCTAAGCTGTAAGCAGTTATTGTTAAAATACTTCATTTTAGCTGGAATTTATTTTCGCTGAATAGACTTTATGGGTGTTTTCTATGGAATTTATTTTCACTGGTTTTTGACTAGTTGAATGTAAAATACAGTAAAAAGGTATATTCGCTGGATTTTATTTTCACTGAAACATTCCTTCAGCGAAATAGTAAAAATTAATTCCAAGCAAAAAATAAATAATTTTACAGTACTCAGACTTCATATAATAATAGACTTCAGTATTTAGTTCTACATATGCATCAGACATTAATTGTGGTCTCAGATTATTGTCTATGTTTTCTCTGCCAGAACTTGTGTTGTTTTCTAACTGGATAGTTCATTATTGAGTAATTCCTCCTTGCTTTATATATATTGTTTTTTCTTATCATAATTTTTATAATAACACAAATGGTTCATGTGTATTTTGAATAGGTTTTTCTATGTTTAAATTAATTTTTAGCAACCAAATTTGAGGTAAAACTATTGGAGGACACACCAAGGCAGGAAGGAAAGAAAACTCCAACAGAAGGTAGAATGATATCAGTGATGAATGTATTTGATGAAGTTATACCTCAACTTGGAGTCTACAGTCAGCTGATGAAAATGGTTAGAGATGAAGTATTTGGTAAATAAATTTGTTTATCTTTTTAGATGTCAATTACCTAAATGTTGTATCATACGTTTTATACTTTGTGTTTGAACCAACATATACTACTGTAAAATCTGTACCACAACCTTAATAGAAGCTTTTTCGAACAACTGAAAAAATTCACTATTGTACATTTTCTATAGAAGCTACAGCTGCTGCAATCTGATTAATATCTGATGTATTGTATGGCGTGAATTTAATTTAATTTTTACAATATATTTTTATTATTTTGTAATTGTTTTTATTATTACGTACATCTTGTTTTGTATTACTTTAACTATCTAGCAAATAAATGATGAATTAAAATAAAATAAAGTAAAATAAAATGTATAATATAAATTAAAAAAATGAATAAAGTTCAAACTAGGATCTAGATTTTAATCAGATTGCAGCTGCTAATACAGATTTTACAGAACTCATTTTTAATTTTGTAAATTATTATATAATGTTTTAATTCTGCAAGTTATCATTATTTTCAGTGAAAATCAAAAAAGTTTGAAACAATTTTAAAAATGTGTTATCAACGATGAACCCTTAAAAACAACTTGAAAGAGATTTCACTACTACCGGTATTACCCCAGTAGTACTATGATGTGATATTTTGTTTCTATTTTAACAACTACATTTTTAGATTGCCCTTTGTTTTTCTAATTTCAGAGGCAATCTACAGCCAGCAATACACAAGTACCACTCATCAAACAACTAACTATAAAGTAGCGACAAATAAACAAATGGATAAACAAAGTGAAGACCATGTTTTTATACAAAGAATACCATATTTCACATTGATACAGAGAGTTTTTGATCAGAGGTAAGTGACTTTTAGTGTTTATCACATGTAGAGCGCCCTCTAAGACAATATGTCATGTCACTACCGGTAATGCACAGATGTATTGTGGGACGCAACAAGTTAAGCTTATTTTCTGGTGTGTCATTGATGCAAAAATAAAATTATTGAAAAATATGTCTTTAAAAATATCTATAGATATGGAATTCACAATTTTTTAAAATAAAATTTAAAAGTGTGAAAATGAAGGAAATCAGAGGTCACAACATTTTTGTTTGATCCTTCAGAATTCACTCGCAGACCAGCCAATTACAATCTTGATTTTTATTGAAGAGACCTTCCCCTCAAAACTGATCCAAATTGATTTCCAGGTTTTCATTTTGACTTAAGATCTCTACAAAATGAAGTTAAAGACATAAAGTAATGCATTTGAATTTTAAATTTTTGGTGCATTCACATGTGTTCTGATTTTACATAGGTTCTATTATCAGTCTACTCAATTATAGCAAACCCCTTTTTTGGAGGTGACTGAATTGTAAAATTAATTAAAATTGTATTTGTAGAGTGCTTGAATTATTATAATTTCATTTCTTATCAATAACAAATTAGAAGAAACAACAAGATGAATTGATATATGTAGCTGTAGCTCTTCACAGTTATATTTCCACTTTGTATGACCTGTAGAAAACCACTCACTGATCCCTGTAATCATCATAAAGTCTTCGGAAATGTAACAGAATACTGCAATTGAAATTGGAATAAAGTAAAGTGCTCTTGAGTGATTATAACAATGGAAATTTCAGTGCAGGCTAGCTTCAGTGCTCCTTCAAGATGTGTTGCCATGCCAACTGATTTTATAATTTTTCATGGTGATGATCATTTGGTTTTAATTTTGCTTATTTTGCTGACTGGAAAATGCGCTAAATTAAAACCTAGTGAATATGTAAAATTTAGCATAGAACACATTATCTAATGATAAAACCATGATTTAAACCCACTGAATATGCCTGAAATGGTAAATCAGCGAAATTTAAACCCAATAAAAATTAGTCATTTTACAGTAATACATATTGGAAATACAATTTTAATGCCAGGTGGTTGAATTGCTGAAGGAAAATAATTATTGGTAATAGAAATTAGTAGGTCCAACTAATGGACCCACTAATTAATTTTGTTGTGCTTCTTTAAAACACTTCAAACAGAAATGAAGAAGCCGATGAACTGAGGGAGCAGCTTGACTTGGTTAAAAAGAAGCTACATGACAAACACAAAGAGTTTGAAGGTTCTATCACTGTCAACACTGCTCTCAAGAAGGAGATTCACAACTTGAGAGAAATTGTGAAAATGAAAAATGGGATGATAGAAAAAAATGAAGACGATATTGCAGCGTGAGTATATTGGCTCAGATTTGTGTTTTACAGATTTTCAAACTTGTGATTCAAAATTTCAGAACTAATTATTCAGAATTTCAGAACAAATAAGTCAGAATTTCAGTAAATATAAACAAGTAAGTCACAAGTTCAGAAAAAATTAAAAAAAATAATTCTGAATTTCAGAAAAATGTAATTTTCTATTCATTTTTGCCAGTCTTCAAGATGATTTGGAAGACCTGCGTGATAGCAGCGAATTACAGAAAAAGAATCTAGAGAATGAGAAGGAAGCATTGGAAGTCCTCCTGAAAACCACACAGAATGAGGTTGAATTTCTCACTCAGTATAAGAAAGGTTATGATGAGTTGGAAGATGGTAAGAATACTGTCCTATTTCACAGTATTGTAAACAAATGTATTTTCACTTTGAAATGATTCTCACCAATTATGGATTGTAAATATTCTGAATCAGTGCATAGACCCAACTAGAATTGATGAAAGTGAATAATAATAACCCATACACAGAATGACCCAAAATGTAGTTATGACCGAAAAATATCAGTTGACGTAAAGTCGTCTCCATACAGTAACCTAAAGCCAACACTCAAGCCTCACCCCACACCAATGTAATTGCATATGCTCTTTAAAATGTGAAGATGGACATGTACAATTAACATTGAGGTGGAGTTATAATTAAGGTTATGGGTTAAGGAGCCCTAAGAACCTCTAACTTTGTAATTATATTTTTCATATATTCTGGTTAAGCCCTCTAGGTTTCAATCTATAGATTCTAAAACAGTCAATGATATTAGAAAAAAGTAAAAAATGAAGTTCTGTGTGACATGCTAATGCATTGAGCTTTATTGATTTAGAATGCCCACACAAAGTAATAAATATTTGAACTTTATCTGTTCTTGTAGCATTTACCATCAAAGGAGACCCTGGTTTCCGAAGAAAAAAGAAGAAACCAGTGATTGCCACCAGAAGAGTGAGTACCCAGTACCGGTATATTGAAAAAAAAAAAAAATTTCCTATTTATTTGTTTCAGTGACATTTCAAGTGATATTACAAATAGAAATTGTGTCTTGGTCTGATGTGTGTATAAAGTCACTTTACAATGATGTTTACAAATGTTATAGAAGAAAAAAGAACTTGTTCATAAAAACAAAAGAATTAGTTTATAAAAACAAAAGAATTTATGTGTAATACCAGTTAATAAAAGCTTTAATTATTTATACCTCATTAATTTAAAACCATGTAAGTGGTATCATTCTGTTCAATCTTATTACATCATTGTGACACTATGTTTTTACTATTTCCCAAAACCACAATGAATTAATGTTTTCCAAAATGGTATGACAGATTTGTTCATAGAATAGACATTGTGTTGTTAAAAACAAAGGAATTACTTCATAAAAACAAAAGAATTTACCACCAGTCCAAATTTAAAACTGTATCAATACTGTATTTAATCTATTACTGGTAGAACTTTTTACAGTAAATGACAGAGTTGTGTCATTTGTCAATATAAAGTCATATTTTAATGTTCAAGCTAAAAATAATACATGTATTTGGCTTTATGTGCACTTTATGTGCACTCGTCATATTTTCCGAGTTAAACCTTTAATTACAAAAATTTTGCATTCTCTCCAATCCCCAATATTGAGAAAATCTTAATTATGTTATCAAATTTTTAGAGAGGTTAATTTATGAGACTTTTACAGTAGTTTTTATTCTGTTTTTTGTTTTATTTTAAGGCCCATCTTCTCAACAACATTGCCTCAGCCAAGAAACTTGAAGAGCAGTTGTTGACAGTGGAGAATAAAACTATTGAAGAATTTGATGTGTTCTTAGAGGATCATAAACGAGAATTGGAGGAAAGAATCCTTAGAGATAACTACAATGATGCAAAATTTGATGAAGAAGAACATGAATTAGAGAAAATGGATAAAGAGGTAGATATAGACAATAATTTTTAATGTTTTTTATTTCTCCACATTATGTTATTTTAAGGAGGTTCAAACCAAATCCCAAATTATACATCATCATTTTTCAAAAAAAAAAGTCTGAAATATCATAAAAAAAAGTCAAAATTTGCATTTTTGCTCTGGTTTCTATAGTGAAATTATTTCTTCATATCTCAAAACTCAAGTCATACTTAATTATAGATATGAATCATAATATTGTGAAAACATTTCAACTGCCTCAAGGACATCTCATTAACAAACATTTTTTTTTACTGAATAACAGAGTTTGAAATGTCATGAAATCTGTCCTTAGTTGCATTTTATTTTTGCGAATAGATTCTCTAGTTAATTTTTAAAAAGAAACATATACGGTATTGTCAAAATTGTTCAAAGAATTTACATATAATTACAGTGCTATAATATTCCTTGAATATATACAATGGGAATTTTTCTCTCATAATACATTGCACATCTTTCAAAATTTGAGTTTGCCTCAAACTTAACTATTATTTAAATACTACAGCTTCAAAACCGACAAGAAACATTCCAGAAGACAATTATGTCCTTAAATGAGGAACTGAGCATGGTGAGACAACATAGAGAGAGTTTGGAACATCAATGGGAGGAGTTAGAGGGTCAATTCAAGTTGGAAGAAGAGATGAGTAAAGCTAAACCCCCTAGCAGTAGAGGCAGACCTACCAGTAAAGACTCACTCTTACCAAATATGAGTAGTGTGCTTGGATCCAGTCGGCCAAATTCTCAGTCTCCTGCAAAAGGTAACTTTAAAACTTTCTAAGCCAATACCTGTCCAAATTACTAACCATATTATCTCTATTAGTTGTGCTCACATAAATGACAGGTGTGCTTATAGTGAAGAGAAGTCATATTAGAATGAAAAAGTGTACAATTCATGCAACTATTTGTATGTACTAATTGGAGATGCATTACTAAAAGAGCAAATATGGTATACTGGTATACTCTTTTCTCATTTTCTTTCTTATCCAAAATATTCAAAAACCTTTGACTATAACCTGTAAATAAGTTCAAATTATGCCTGTTTGAAATTGATAGTAAAATTACAGAAAATGCAATAAAAAATGTCATCAAAATTTTGACAAAAATAGTAAAAATCCACATGTGACTGTAAAACTGCTGAATCACATCGGACACATGTACATGTATGTTACTTTAGAAACGGTCTGTTGACCAATTTGCCAAATTTAGAAATTTTTCCTATTTCTTCCCAAAGAAACTGTAGTCAGTGGGACATGAAATCTCTTCTTTGTTTCAGACTCTGTGATGTCACTTGGTGAAGACTTTGATAACATCGATCCACTGAATAGTGAGATGGATCCGTTTGTACCTCAGGAAACCATCTTGAGTAAATACAGTTCCATGATCTACACATCGACCAATCACGCGAAAACATTCAATGAACTCAAAGACGCTAAGTTTTGTAGCAGCTGTGGAGAAAAAGTAAGGATCTGTGTCATTGTCAAATATTCACTGAGTTTATATCTAATTTTTATTTGAAATTACAAAAATTGTGACAAATTTTGCAGCAAAATTTTATTTCAATTAAACACATCAACTGTGTTTCACAAAATATCTTTCTGAAAATCAATACAATTGTTCTTATTATTTTGTTTCCTTCATATTCACCAAAATATACTTTAATATTAAGTAGTTTTAATGTACAATAAAGGTCCTTGTGTAATCTAGGCCAGTTAATATGTATGAATAATTATGACATACCCATTTCAGAACCCATCTTATCTGACATAATTGTATCCTCATAGCTAAGACTGGCATAATGGTCTATGAAAGTTGTCTTATTGGCCTTTTCATGTAAGAAAACATATAATTAGACACCAAAATTGTCAAAATTGGACCATTATAACAGATTTTATGAATTTGACCCTTCACAAAAAGTGCGTTGACCCTTTCACATTTTCGGTCATTGTGACGTAACGCAAGGTAAAAAATAGGTCAAACTATATATTTTTGAACTCTACTCATCAAGACAAGTAAATTGATATGCATCTTAAATGGATTGGACCAGCTTTGAGTTTTGGCCCAAAAATTGTTTTTTTTTAGCCAAAAATGAGCAAAAAATGATTTTCAAGTTTGGCCGCCCCTGATGTGAAACCTTACTATATAAGGACGTGATTTAGCATAGATGCCTGCTTGTAACAAAAAATGCCGAAAAAAAAAAAAATTTTGAACACTTTTCTACCTTCTGCTGGCTGTCTGTTTAATGAAGTACCCTTGATAGTTTAATTTAATATTTAATGTTTTCATAGAAAATATGCAACAAAACAAAATTTTGTATTAAAGCATTACAAGTACTATAAAGAAATCAAGTTTTATCTGTTCCCTTTCACCAGCAATATAAAAATTATTTTTATGAAAATGAAAATAAAGTAAATGGATCAAATACAAGTTTTTGTTGTTGTTTTTTTCAGACTGTGATTTGTCCACACAAGATAGGTGGTGATAAAATTGTCATCTTACCGCATAATTGTACTCATATCAAGCTATCAAGGCCTAAGGTCAGGATAAATGTAGAAGCCAAAGAAAGACTGGCAGAGTAAGTAATCAGGATAGAATCAACTGTGATATACATGGAATCCCATTGTTTTAGCTGCAGTAATATTTTGCGGTATTAGATCTACATCATACATTACCAGTACTTTTGACCTCAGTGTTAATTTTTGATCCAAGTTAAAAAAAAAAGAAATTTTCTGTATTATTTTTTCTACACAAAGTCTAGTGGTAATGTATTTTTTCTGCAATCTTGTCATTTTGTAGTCAGATATGTGCTGATTCAAAATTATTTACAAATTTAATATACAGATTTAAATTTGCTAGTAGATATACAGTAGATAATTGTAGATTTATCACAGATGCACCACTTTCCATTTCTCACAATTATACTATAATATAAAAATACATGTATAATTTTGATGGGTGAGAAGTAGTGCATCTGAAGTTTCAAATGTTTCAAGAATAAAGAACATCTATAGATCACTATGGAACTCTATGGATTCTTTTTAAAAAAAAAAAAACTTGAAATTGTTCTCAGAGCCCTGTATCAAAAGCCTGACACATCAGAGTCAACCAAGTTATCCACAAAGCGTATCAGAGGACGGATATCTATCACAACACCAATGAGACCACTCCAGTCAATTATAGATTCACCGGCATCAGCTGAACAATCACCTGCAATATTTAGAGAAGAGAAAGACACTACTGTATTAGGTGCATCACAAGAACATCAGGTGAGTGTCATATGACTGTCATGTGATTGGAGTATACTATTTCCTGATTGGCTGATTAGTAGTCATGTGATCTGACAGTAGATTGGTAGGGTTAGCAGATTTTAGTCAGTTTAAAATACATATGGTACGCCTTGAGGTCTGTATATATTACTTTCACTGATTTGATCCCATTGTGTTGTTGTAGTAGCATGTTAGTTGGCCATTTGGTTGTTGTTTTGTGTTCTTGGACTTGTAAATGCCTTTATGAAACTTTAA